CCTCGTCCTGCCTTTGACCCGTGTCCTCCTCTTTTTCCTGGTGCAGAATCAAAATTGTCGGTAGAGGCTTTGGTATTTTGTTTTGACCTCCGGCCTTGACTACCAAAGCCGAATTTTTGATCGCGTGCATTACGCGTTATTTTCTTCCCACCAGGGCCTTTGGCATGCTTAGCAGGCCTGTCAGCAATGGCATCTTCAACTGCGATATCAAATGCATCGCCATCCGCGCCATCGGCCTCAGCATTTTCCAAGGCACCTTTGCGTTCTACGAGGACATTGGTGAGTTGATTGTCTCAGCAGAAATACAGACATACTTCTTTTGAGCCCTTTAAGTCGCTCTTCCATGTCCTTCTTGCTACGTTCTCTTTCCTTGAGCTTCTCCATCTGCACCTGCTTGCCAAACTTCTTCCCCTCCCTCTCTCTTCTCTTCTCTTCCGACTTCTTGATCCCGGCACGTTCATCGAGTAACCGTGAACGAAGACGCTCCATGTGCGCGTCGGACTTGACCATCTCTGCAAAATAATCTGAGGGGCGCGTAAAAGGCAGAGAATGAGAGGCAGCAAGCGTGCGGGCAGTATTGGCGGCATGTAGTGCTTGTTTGTAGCTAGATGCAAAATGAGCTTTTGTTAACGAAGCAAACCGGAAAGTGCACTGACAACGCAAGCTCGCGATTGAGGTCATCATCTACATCAACCTCTATTACTTGAGGATACGATATGACGAGGGTTTCTGTCCACGGTAATGATGGGTCGAGTCGGATTGACTCTCTTATGCGACGAAGAGCAACCTGCAATGGAAAGTAATTAAGTTTCGCATGTCACTTGATCAATGGATGAACACATACGGTATTGTCGATTTCGACTTTTTGTTCTGGAACTACATCTTCATCAACATGACCGTCTTCGAGATCATCAAGTGCCACTGGCTCTTCTTCATTTTCTGAACCATCTGAACCTGCTTCACTCCCATCTTCAAAATTTTCTTCGTATTCAACCTCCTCCCCCTCCTCTCCACTGTCACTGGCTGAGCCCTCGTCCGAATGTGGATGTGCAAGATATGGTCGGTTTGGATGCATGTCTGAGGCGGACTCGAAGTCTGGGATCTGGAGCTGGTCAGTTTCCGCCTCGAACCTTAATTGCTGAGTCGACTTCCTAATTTGGTTTACCGCCTTGTAAAATTTCACAAGTCTGCGGTGTGCTATTTTCAGTGTTCAACGTTCAGTGTTCACCAAGTTGCGAGCATATTTTACACGAGCAGAATAAAAGATGTACATGTTCATAAGACACATCATAGGACATAATTTTGTGAAGAATGTAGTGACAAAGATGCAACGCTATACGGGAATGGATGTGGTACTGAGTAATAGGACGGATAAAATGCTTGAGTTGTCATGATTTGTTGCCAGGCGGAAAGACTGGGTGGCACTCGTAGTATGACAGTGCTGGAGAAGGTGTAATAACAGAAATATTGCATGCTCTGCATCTCCGCAATACTCGAAGCGCGACAGGAGAGCACTGGCGTATTCCTCGAGGGGACATAGAGATAGTGCAGCAGCGAAGTAATCGATTACAAGGTGGATATCATCGAGCGTGCCGTCTTCTTTTAAACGAATAAGAAGACCTAGGGCAAAGTCAGAGCCTAGTACCTCATCGATTTTTTGCGATGCAGGATCTCCAGATAATGGGCTGTTTTGACACGGGGTGTAGTGAATACCAAGCTGTCGTTGTGCTCAGCTGATGATTGTAACTAGTAAGTGGTAAATCATGATATAAAGGTTAGCATGGATATTGTGAATGTTTACCTCACTGTTGTGGCCTGCGGAGTGTATCCGCAAGTGGATCATCTCAACCGACGATGGGAATTTCGTCTGTTTGGCCTCATACTTTGCATACCACGACGATGCACCGACCGGTGACAGATTCCAATTTGTGACTGCTGAACCTTTTCGGCATCGGTTCGTGAGCAGGATTCCTCGTATTAGGATAAATAATCTGAAATATAACCAACGCGGTACTCATCTGTATGAAACAATGTGGCGAGATATGCCTTCCGATCCTCCCCCGGCCATCAGGTACCTGTCAAACACATCTGTGCAGAGAAGACTGAAATACTTAGATCAGGTGCATCAGGAACGTATGTCACGCCCTGATTACTCAGGGTCGCTCTCATCTTCTTGAAAATGCGTGATTTGGACCGATGGACAATTCTGATCGGCCTGCCGGCGAAGCGTGCCCAAGTGTTTCTGAGAATTTTGAACCCTAGTTTGAAGGGGCCAGTCCCCTCTTGTGTGCGGATGTGCCGCAGACTGGCATGACGTGAGTCATTCGTTTCGAATGTAATTGAAATGGTTGCAGAACTGACGAGACGATATCATCGGCCAGGTATTCTTGTACATATCGAATGGAGCTTCCGAGTCAGAGAAGCATTAATATTGTTGGTCTAAACCATACAAGCGTCACAGCAAGAGGACCGGAAAAAAATATGTGCTTCCTTCCATGTGAAGTAGCGCGGTAGCGAACCTGCAGTGTGAAATGTACCTGTTCCCTGGATACTCGGTCAGTTGGTCACTTCGTGTGATGCATGATCAATTGCACCAACTTGAATGATTGTCCCGGCTAAGACACCTGCCTGATCACTCTGAATTTTTCCAACTTTGCACCTTGGTCAGGTTCCACAATTTGACAAAGTCGGTTAGGTTCCGTACCTTTTCTTGAATCCGTTTCGTGCATTTTTGGCATGGCAGTGCCATCACTTTCTGGACCATAACCAAAGAATACGTTTGCTCAGATTCGGGGTGTTGCCCAGAATGCCCTGTGGCGTCTAGATGAAAAATACATTGTTGCAGCTCGTTACGATGCTAAGTGAGGGACCCACACACTTACGAGACTCGTTTGTGCTCGTCTCAGCTACATAGTAACCGTTAACGCACCACCGGTATCTTCCATTGCCCCTAGGTATAGGGATGCTCAATTCTAACTGTCGTTGTCGTTTGCAAGCCAAACACACGCTAAGCGTCGCCAAACCTGTCCTAATTGGGACTTGTACCTAACCCTTACGGCGCCTGGCGCCAACACTTTGCTAGGAACCATGAGGATTAGGAGCACTGCTGAGGTTTAGGATGTGCTTTAAGACTGAAAGTGTTGGCGCTGCGCGCCGTAAGGGTTAGGTACAAGTCCCGCTTAGGACAGGTTTGGCGATGCTTGGCGTGTGTTTGGCTTGCAAACGAGAACGACATTTAAGTCCAGCTTCGTCTATCGGACGGCATAAAGGTCATTCCAACAGTGGTTGGGCTGGGGCCAAGCGTTAGCTCGGTTTGGACGCTGACGAGATTGCCGCTGGGTGGGCGGGAAACAAACTCGACAGGCGGACTGTCGGATGACCATTATATGCGCTAAGGTAGGCGGCTAGATACGATGATAGGTATGTATGTACGGGTATTCGAGATATAATCTAATGTGGCATGAAAAGGATTATATTGCGACGATAATGGGAGTGGCGGATGGGCGAAAATATGAGAAACGAGCGAGGATACTGTAGATACGAGCGAGTTGGACGTGTGGAACAGAGAAGAAAACGATGAAGAGAGGAGCCGAATACTTTCGCTCAGCTGCACGTGTGGTGCCGGTTCCTTCCGGGCACTCTGGAACCGGCACCTTTCACATAATTGCACGCATCCCTAAATTTGTTAGTCTATTATGCAACGAGGTACGAGCGGAGGAATAGTGTTTTGTCTTCAAGCGAAGATTCAAGATGACTTGGCTGATATCCTTCTTTTAAACATGATTAGTCAGATCTAGGGATTACCTGTTTGCAAATGCAAGTGTCCTAAGCCTGAGAGCGGCTGAGATGTGACAGGATTACCTTCGCTATTACTATGGTCTACCTGGTGAGAGGAGATTGAAGAGCCCAAGTACACAACATATATTGTGAACTTATCAGCGTAGCTATTGAATTGAAGAAGACTCTCAAGACCCGTGTTTGAACAATGTTGTAGCAGGACACTGTGGCATCGTCGTCCGAGCGGAAGGTAACAGGTGTCAAGCGGCGCACAGTGACCCTGGGGAAATATCATGTAATCAGTGAATAATCTTTGTTTTCCCATGATAATCCCCGTTAACGTCAACCAACAATTTCAAACGTTCAAACTTTGGACCTTGCGTCCAACCTGTTGACAGCGACATCAGCACAGCGGTTCTCAGTACTCAGTCCTTAGAGTTGGTTCCTCGGAAACAGATCTCACATGACTTGAGCGGTCACGGTATGTACCGATGTTGAACTTGTCTCATTATTATTGATCTCCTCGGGATTACAGAGTCTCAGAGTTTCACAGGGGACAATCGTCGCAGCTCGCTGTCGTGAATCATGATCAACTGCTGGTACACAATTATCCATTCTTATTGCGCCCATTATTTGACATCTCCCTGACATAAGATTCCCCCATCAAAAGTAGCTCTCAAAGTGCAGTGGCCACTTATAGAACTCAACAAAACGAAAGGGTCCCGTTTGTTCGCGCGAATTATGTACCCCAGAATGGCAAGCTGCTCATTTGACACTACGGTAGCTCTCGCAGCGCACGACTATTGATTGACAATATTAAATTGTGGTGCCATGATGTACCACTTGTCATCGTCTTCACGAATGACCACACTGATTCGTCGTAGTGATGCAAGTTCAGCGTAACTCGGCAAGCTTCACTCAGGGCTAGCAACCCTTACCCTGGTTATTATTACGACCGCTTTCTCGATGACTGGCCCAGTGATCGATGCTGCAAAACATTGCTGTGTCAGCAGTTTACCGTGACAGAATCATATTCGGATTGGAGCTCTTGTCACTCGACCCTTTCAAGTTGTACACACAGGAGGGGATCCGCGCGCAAGGTTTGAACATGGTCATATACGCTTATGCCAGGCCATCTGCGAGTGCATCCTTCTATGCAAGTGCTAGCGTGTGAGATAATGTACTTCGTAATCACAGAGTGACTCATGACGTCCCAACAGACACCATACATTTGTAGGATTCTCAGTCAGCTAGTCTGCATAGCCCTGCACGTTTTTATCGCTGCCAAGAAATGCCGTGAGCATCACGCCCGATAATCAGATAATATAAAAGACACACACGAAGGGTCTTCCTGCGTCACATATATAGCTGCCTTCAACATTTGCATGTCAAGATCATCCTTTCCCGTTATCTGATAATGACATCCTACCTTTTCCAACCAACAGGTGAGTGGAAGTTATGTAGCCGGTGTTGCATCTTTTTGTTTATCACCCTTTGCAAAAGTCCTGAAGTATATATCGATACTTCATATAATTGCCATGCTCTGTACTATTTTTAGGCTTGTTTACAGAGGTTGGATGCGTCACTTGTGGTGGGAGGATGCATGGGCAGCATTTTCACTGATCTCAGACGGTAGAAATTTTGCTGCATGCTGCATGATTCTGTAACTAACTACTGTATCCCCCAGTTATTTGCCTGCTATGCATCTGGATCCATACCTCGATAAGTTGTGAGTGTTCGTCTTCGCGCTCCAAGATTCACCTTACCTTTATGTCAGTCCCTACCTGGACCTTCTCTGTGGCTTTCACCTCCGTTGTCTGGTGCGCATCGTAGCTCATTTGGTTATGTTTCGAACTCACTAGTCCAGGGCTGCGCGTATGAGCATGATTTTCTCCATCATCCGAATTGCCAGCCCTTCAGGTCACAAGTACCAGAAATGGATCACCTATCTCATCACAGTATCCTTCGCGGGTATGTGGGCTGTAGTACTGGTATCGAAGGATAGCACGTGCGTTTTCACATGCCAGAAGACCATGCCAGTAGCGCTCTTGCAATTAATTAGTTGGTTCCTCTTTCTACTTTCTATACCTGTTATGGACCTCAAGTTCTTGGGTTCCTGCAGCGGATGTCGTCGCGGATGTTTCTCTCATTCTTGCGCCCCTGCTGTTCTGGAAAAATACAGGGCTCTCAAGCAACCACAAAATATTGATCCTCTCCCCATTCGGCGCATCGCTCCTTATCACTGCGATTACAATCCCCCACTCCGTAATGCTCCTCCACTCTGCCTCAGAAACGACGCTCATCATCGCTCACGTCAAGGTATGCGCGCACTTACTCGCATTCCTTTGTAACATCTGACAGATCTTAGGCCGCCCTCAGTCTCGTCGTCTGCAACCTCCTAGTGATCGTCACTTTGATATACCGCGTGTGCTGGAAGAGAACACTTGACCCGGACCAAACACTTGAATCTCCCATAATCTTTACGAGCGTTATCACGGCACAAATCCACGTCAGCGCGATTTCTATAACATCACCCCCTGTGCATGAGGAGACTACTCAAGATACTTAACGACGGGCGTTGACTGGGAAAACAGAAGATGAAAGACGCAAATGTCCTTTTTACCAAAGGGTGCGCTAGCACAGAAGAATGGAAAGCAATATTTAGATGATGGCGTTCAGTGATTAGAGTTGCCAAAGATGATGCGCAAGTACTTTATTCACCTTGGGATACAACGAGGTTTTATGTGTTGTACTACGGGTATTAAGCTTGTGGAATAACTGGGATTTAAATTTATCATGTGATTTGCAAAACCACATGCTTTTGGGTCATCGTCGTCAAGTATCTTGTTCTTCAGTTTCCCTGCCAGGCGATTACAATCTCACAGCGAACGCATGTCAAGGCACTTCCTCCACTGTACCAAAAACAGATCATCTGATATCACAAGATGCAAATACAACATGAACGGGGATCATTGCGCAATATATCATCCAGCACAGCGATCATCGAGCAATACATGAATCCAATGGTGCTGTACACTTCTGTCAGGACAAAAGACTCTCGTCAATGCACGAACGACCGCTCTCCACCCCTAATATTCCCGGCAGACTCATGCAAGAACAGCACAAAGACGCCAGTGATGATATACACGACGACGCTCGCCCACACTGGGACCCCGCGGTTCAAGACGAGAAGTGCACCGCCGAGCAAAGGGGCGATCATCCCGCCTCTAAGATCGATGCATATAAGTTAATTAGGTTGTTATTTTGGGATAATAAGACGACGATACGTACATTCGTGATAGCGCGGATGCAATGCCGCATGCTGTTCCCCGGACCTTGGTTCCGAAGATTTCTGGTGTCCAACTAGGAAGCATTAGTACTATGCACTCATATCAAGAAACTACTGGAACGTACCCATACAGTACAGCATACATGGTCTGCATCGGCTCTGTAAGAACAAGGAACAGACATATTTCGAGGAGAGCCACCCACCGTCGCACTAAGACTGATCCCCACCGAACTCACGCGCACCAAAAGCGCGCTTCTGACGAGCACGAACACAACACAAAAGAACGCCGTGACGAATGTGGTTGCAGCCAGCGAGCCCCGTCGGCCAAGAGGACTTTCAACCATATAGGCTCCGAGCTGCAGTCAACCGTCAAGCGTTAACATACCATGTAAACAAAGCAATGGAAAACATACGATAGCACCAGGACATCCTCCCATAGTAAATATTAAAACATCCCACAAGCTATGCTCTAGAGACTTGGTCGAAGTATCATCACTCGACCCAGTTTCGAGCAGCTTGGGGAGGTAGACATTAAACATCGTGTACGCTAGGTAGTCCACATGAAATACTGATGCTCCAGATGATGAATAGAAAACCCACCTAATGACATAAAGAACCACACGCCCCACATGAGCACCGTCGTCCGGAACCACTCGGGGGCCAAGACCATGCCGACACGGTCTAGCCATGCAAGCAGCGGCCGACGCACCCATCTAGGCAACACGCTCCCAACACGCTGCTTCATCTCAAAAGAAATCACGGATGACGGCCGTGGGCGTATAGTTCCTTGGCGAGGCCGCGAGCGCGCTTCGGGGATGGAGAAAAGGACTTTTGACTCCGACTCCGAGTCTCGAGACGAAGAGCGAGAGCGATGCCCCCGCGCAAGGCTTTGTCCATGCGGAGGCACCTCACCAACGGGAGTTATGAACGAATGTCCATCTAATGCATCATGAGTAGCTTCGGCCATCGACTGGTAGACTTTTGTTCCATTCTGATCGCTCGGAGTGCTACTGCCATCCGCACCTGTATCGAACAACGTCTCGTTATTTGCGCGAAGATCTTGGGAGTTGGAGTTAGGGAGGAATGGTACACGCTCCCCTGCAGATGCGTGTGCTTCAGAGGTAGGTGGAGGCCTGTCATCCACATCTTCTAGCTCTATCGGTAGCTCGGAGCCATTGAACCTAGAAATGAGCTGGAGACTTTCTAGTGCTTCTTGGTGACGACCGGCGTGTACAAGGTACCGCGGAGACTCGTGTAATCGGAAGAAGACCATGCGTGCGAGGAACATCGAAAGTGTCTGTAATGATCAAGGTCGGAGACAGTTATAAATCATCTGAGGGGTGAACATACGATGGTACCAAGGGATACGAGCATGAATTTCCAGCCTGTGTTCTGAGTAGCGACATCGCAGGGCTCGTTAGGGGGGCATGAGCGGGAAGGGATGACTATTAACGCAACGCCCGCAGATAGAACGGAGCCAAGGGAGAAAAAGACGGAAAGAGCCGTGACGAGATATTGTTTCCCATTAGGCATATGCTCGAGAAGAAGTGTGCCGTCAGTTGGCATTGAACCCTAAATTGATGCCCGATAAGAATAGGTCAACAAGGCGGAGATTAACGTACACCAACGGCGCTACCAAGAAAGAATAGGAGAACACATAATGACCAAAACGACCATGCAAACGATGAGAGGATACCGAATAAGGCAGTGAAAAAGAGCGTTGCGTTAAATGCAGCACTGCGTCCCAGGAGGTCAGAGCAGGTTCCCCAGCCCACAGCACCGAACATCATGCCGGCGAACATGGACGATGAAAGAGTCCCGATGTAGTTGTCAGGAACTAGGCGGGGGTTATATGATAACCCACTGTGGGCATGAAGGGAATTTACCTGAATAGTGTTGTTGTACTCTAGGAAGAATTATTGCAACGGCTTGAATCCACATCTGAGCGACATGTCAGAGAAGTGGGGAATGTTTTCGCGAACTACTCACATTATCTGCCATCCATCCTGATAGAGTATATCATAGTTAGTTATGATTGACAAAAATATCGTTGAATGGCCGCTGGCGAGAAATTGTAGCATGGTGCTCACCGAATCCGCATAATGACAGCAACGTCCATTGATAGCTCCCTGCTCGATGTTAGTGCCATATCAGAAATGCGAGGACGCGACGCACCCATCCCAATCCTATCAATGGTTTTGTCCAACGGCGTCCGTTTATCATACTCGGCATCCAAATCCACCTCGACGTCATCCATACCCTGTTCCGTGTCCTCAAAATAGGTCATCCTGTCCGCCCAGAAATCTGATACGCGGTAGGTGGCAGAGGCCATTTTTGGCTGCAGGGGTGCGACCGCTTATATATTTAGGGTTGATTACGCGAGTAAGACGCCAGCAAGGTTGCAGCCTGGCAGATCGCGAAGATGTGTTGCTATATTTGATAGTAAAAGGCCCGTGTGCACTGCACTTAGACTCTGGATGGATGAAACTTGATGGAAGCTTGCCGGATGAGCGGGACTCGTTGATGACGATAAGGAAGTATGAAGGACTCCTAAAGCAAGTAGAAGAGTGCACTTTGCACTAGTACTTATATGTTGTGCCACATTTGAAACTTGATTTCGTTTCGAACTGACGTTTCAAGTTCTGACCGCAATCGACAATGTTTCATCAAGGCTGTAACTACGTTTAATAGCAGTCCGTTTTATCCATCTGCAGGTTTAGATAGTGGCCCGACAGTCCGAGAAATGTACTAACGTGCACTGTACGCCGGTAGTTCTTCTTGATCTCCAACATCATCTCCGAGCTTCCTCACCTGCCTATCCACCCTCCATCTCCACTCATTTCCTTCCAGCCACTTGAAAGATGAACCACCAAAATTTACTGAGACGTCACACTCCCCAGACACACCCACAGCAGCATACACATCAATCCCGCTGCGGTTCTGCAAATATATACCGGTAAACGCATCTGGCAAGCGTTGACCGTCGATCGTGAAGAACATTGTACCTGTATGAAAAGAATATGCGCAACCGATTGTATGGCCAACGACAGACGTAATGGGTGGGAAGCCCAGTGGGAAGCAAGGACGCCCGCCATCTGGGTCCTCAAAGAATTTGTGGAAGTCGTCGAGGTGAAGGCCTGCGCTCAATCGATTCCAGCCTGGGAGCCTCCATGATGGGTACGGTCTGCAAGCAGTTCCTGACCGACAAAAAATGAGGTGAGGCGAAAGGAGCGAAAATATGCATACCAATTGCGATTACGCCACCTTTGGATGGGTCTGTCATTTTGTTTACAGTGATCTCAAAGTATACTCCACCATCCATTGGAAAGTGATATTGACCAGCGACGATTGGCAGGTTGCTGAGGAGACATGTATCTGGGCAGCCCACTCTAGAGCGTATCTGCGAGAGTCTGCCCTTCCCGACTGAGTTATGGACTACGGCGACAGAGGAAGAGTCGTGAGCTTGCATTCCCCATTCTAAGCATCCATTGCTGTCGATGTCCGCGATGGTTCGGGAGGGTAGAATTGCTGACGATTCAACAGGATGTCTTTTACAGAACTCGAGGGCTGTTTCGTAACTTTCATCTGAGGCTTCGTTCTGAAGACCGTAAGTGGATGATCGTTCTACTGCAGGTGCCCACTCAGGAGGAGCACCTGGCAGAACCTCTGGGTGCCGGGGAGCACGTTGCTGACAGTGTTGTTTGAACCAGTCCATGCAGTTTGGAGTTGAAACTTGAATGTACGCACAATAGGAGCCACTGCTATTATATCTGAAAGTCGTAGCGGAGTTTGAAAACAGCATATTGTGGTCTCAAAGTCATCAGCAGAGGCCCATTGAAAGGTTTGCATTGACCCATCTGGTGCAAGAATCTCGGCTTGACTGTACGCCAGCTGATCCATAAATCTAGTATATTAAGGTACTTTAACATTTGATCTTCAGATATACTGTGAAAATGAAATCTTGCCTATGATTCATTTGCCCCCATAAGCGCCACTTTGCACTCCTAGACCTGAATAGACAAATAGAAATACGAAAAACTAACGCTGCAAACGGTATCGGTGGAGATGGAAGGTCCGGGTAGGTCCAGTTGGCACCACTGGTATGATTTATGTTCGACAATCATTACAGGAGGGAATGACAACGAACCGCGAGCCTCGGTTTCATCTGGTAAACTAGAGATGAGCCTGCGAGATGCAAGACAAGTATCACCAACCTCACCGGAAATCATCAAGGCATCCCGGGCTACACTGGCCATATAAGTGCTTTTCTTTCATTGATGATCAATCCTAGAGTCCAACATGGCCATAAACGACAGCTCGGGGAGCTTTCGCGCTCTAATTGTCATCAACCAGCGTCTTTGCTGCTGATTCTGAATTCGATTGGATCGAATACTTTGAAGAACATGGCTTATGTGGCAGCCACCTCACCGATGTCCACTCCTTCAAGACTGAGCACATCGTCAGCAATTGACAGGTAGCATTATTCAAGCAAGACAAACGCACGCATCTATGCTGAATCTATCGTCTGGTATTTTCTTATAGGCTTGGCACTCGTCCATCAAGAAGTCGAGGAACGATTGATAGTCAAGGTTGCTTATTCCATAGGGACCACTTAGGAGCTGCAGAAACGCCGACCTGGACGAGTAAAACATGTCAGCGCAGTACCCATTAGTGAGAAACAAGCTTACAAGTGCGACAGGTAAGTATTTGTGCGAAGAGATTATGATATTTGACTGGAGGTGGGTCAGGTTGAACCACGAGACTAAGCTCGACGCGCTACTGACGGAAGCATGGATGGGGTTTAACACAGGGATGATTAGTACGACATGAATGAGGCCTGAGGCTTTGTAGCACAGCGGGGACGAGGCTTAAGCTTGACACACGCACAACAGTTCTTGTCACGGTATCATTGAAAAAAGATACATACGAGTTGGACTATAATTACACGAGGGATTCTCAGTAGCGATTCTGGAACGGGGAGTGCGCATGACATCGCATGAAGTTCAAGAAGAATTCCAGATGTGAGTGACGTTAAGTTGGTGTCACCCATTCCCTGAGCAGTTCTTGCCACTAGGTCCTTGAGGCGGATTTTAAATCCGGAAAATCCATGACAGCTTGACGCCAGCGCTGTATTCGAAGTGAGTAAATATAGCCAACATCCAGCGCACCTTTTGGCAATTCAATATCCCCAGTAGTGCCAACGGTAAGGCAACGACGCCGACCAAAACTGGCAGGAGCCGCGGAGGGAGACGAGGACGCTGTATTACTGAGTCACCGGGTAAGCATATAGAAATCAAATGCGACAGCGAGCAGTTGACTTTGAAAAAGAGGGAATTATATAAATCCATCATTGAAATTAATTGATTGAACCGGCAACTTGCGCAACATCAACGTACGGACATTTATGATTTCATTACACGTTCAACTCTCCTCCCGAAGCACGTTTACACCTAGACTGTCTATCGACGGTTTACCTCATATACAGGCTGGTCACCAGTCTAGTTTACACCGGGCGAGTATCTGTGGAGTAGCTGTACCTGAGGCCAGGATTCGAGTAGTATTGTTAAAATCGGAAGCCCGCCGAGTACGGTGTCAACAAAGAAAGGGAAGCCAATACTCACTGAGTACTGAGTAACAGTGTTTGTCGGCCGAGTCGGGGATTGGCGCACAATGTATAAACATGCGGCCATTCCACGGCTGAGACCATAACAAGGTCACCTATCCCTGGTTTGTGCACCAACAACAATTGGACTGGCCGATCTTTTTTTTTTGGCTGTTGGACCCTTTTGAAATTGCAAAGGACTCTGGCCAGGAATTGGAAGACGTAGATGCACAATGCATGGTCATAGCTGAGGCCAAGGAATTGCAGTTGCGTTGCACTACACGCGCTTGAGCAATCGACGTTGATCGCTTACTTTGAACAGCTGTATATTCTGTATCACTACGTGATAAGGCTTCCTGGAGCTTAATTATGAATTCACTGGGAACCAGTCAGTTCCTATTGTCCTCACGCACATGTACTATCTTGCTCACGTGTTATTGGCACCTGTAGTTTTGACCACTTCCGATTGTACGAAACCGATCGACAATGACGGCTACCCGACACATTGACCAGCGATGGCCATGTCGCAGTGCATAAAATGGAGCCTCGCTCGAATTTTGTGGCTGCCACATTAAATCTTTCGTAGTTGTCGTCGCATCATTGCCCACCTACATTCTTAACTCCGCATCATCATCATTTCTCTCTGAAAGTTGCAGGCTAGCAAGGTTCGTGCTGATATCTTCTAAATCTTGCAAATGAATCTCACCTCCGAGTCACTAGCGGTACCCATCAGTCATGAACCAAGTTCGTCATGCCACCCTAGAACTGTTAGATCTGCCCGTCGAAATCCTCGTATACATATTCAGCCATCTGGATGGCTACGAACTGGCGCGAGCACATCAAGTAAGGACAAACTTTTCTATTTCCAAATTATTAACTCGGTCTCTCTCCAGGTATGCCACAATATTCGACACATGATTGACTCTTCCTCGGAGTTGTTATATCCGATTGACCTCAAGTATTTCAACTCCATTCCAGTCCCTTCACCTGGACCAGATCACACCGTCGCATCGCTTCGCGAATCACTTCGACAAAGCGAATTTGCATGGCAGAAAGCCGAATATTTCAAAAGTAATCCCGTCTCTATACCGTATACGTATATCACCCATGACGTGTTCATGTGGTCTGGCGGTATTCTGGCACTCGATGTGCAGGATGAAAATCGACTAAGGTTTTTGCAGCCGCAAGTGACAGACCCTGATCATTCCAATAGCACAAGCTTACGTGAATGGGACTACCACTTCGATGGCGAATTCCCACTGTGCGATTTTTCACCCATACAAGACCTTTTGATTTGCCTTGTCAAAGCATCCCCAGGGTCAGTAGTTCCTTCAAGTTGCATCTTAGTGACTCAATCAACGTAAATAAAGGGAAAGTCACGCCTGTGATCTTATTTTCAGGTCGCTTTCAGAGCCTGATGAAGTCCATCCTGAAGCTGGATCCGCTGTGGTAAAAACCATCGACGAAGAGGTCGACTTCGAATCATTGGACCCATCCACTGTGTCATTCTCCATTTTCGGGAATTATTGTGGCATTTTGTTCAGTGAGGTTCTCAACGAAGATGGTGACCTGGTCGAAATTTTGCAAATTTGGAACTGGAAGTCAAAGGACGTTTCTCTGGTCAGTGAACCTCCTGATTCAGTGTTGTGACTCGTGACTTACCTGGACTTGTAGTGCCTCAAGCCGGCTCATGAAATTCTGCATTTCACTTTTCTAACAAACGAAACAATTCTCGTCGTCAACAGCGAGGAACTACTGTTATATTCCCTCGTTGATTTCCCCAATGCTCTTCATCTTACTGCCAAATTCTCGCTCCCTGCCTTGCCGACATCCTGTAGATATGAAGAAATCCGTATCAAGGACTCCATCTCGTCCCATTCCCGCATGCATGATCATATCATCAATATCAACATGAAGATTCTTGGGGACCGCGATAGCGTCCCTTCAAGTTGTGTCGCACTGTATGTCGAGCGCAACACCCTGTTGGAACTCCAGTCGACCTACACGCGCCAATATGGAAAAGCAAGCGACAGTTCCCCTAATTTGCCTTGGTCTGAATGGGGGCTAAAATATACCCGATCCTTCAGAGGAGACTTGCTTGATACTTGCAAAAATGTCGTCTTTGGTTTACGGGCTGTATCTTTTGTCGGCTCCCAGATAAGGCATCCTTTGCCGCGAGCACTGTGTATCCGCGATTTCAACCCTCATCGAGTAGCGGACTTCAAGGCTGGGAATGGCATTAGATGGAATCAACGACTCATCGAGGGCAACTTATTGGATTCATGTCCGGATATGTTCCTCGAGCCACTTGGGTCTGGACTTCCGTATATCGAGACTATCACTGAAGAGAAGTTCATTGGAGTCGATTTAATAGCAGAAGGAAACAAGGTGATGGTGCTATCCTTCGATTTCGTGGGCAGACTTAAGAGCCCCAGGATACCGGATGACCCGTATATTGTCCAGAATGAACCTGTGAGCAAGAGCATCGAGATACTCAATTTCGAGTAGTTATTTATCTCAAGCTTCATGTTATTTGAGCCTTTCAATTCATTCTGCGTCTTATTTGCGCGTTGCGTACTTGAGTGTTAACGTGCTTTCTGTTGCTAGGCCTATCGAGCGCGATTGACTTTCATTTGATTATTATTATTCAACGTCTATGCTGATAACAACCTTACGGAGATATTCTTCAGCACGAGCGCAGTGATTAGGATCCAACTGTTACCTTGGTATTAGATTTGGGTGGCTGATGTGTGCTATTGAGTGTTCGCTGCAGTATGCATCAGCCGCCTATGACTGGAGAGTTCGTAAGCCTGGGTGGCTCATAATTTCAAAAAGACCTTCGTGATGCATAAATTCAGTCTCATGCTTAATGTACGCACATAGGAGCCACTGCTATTATATCTGAAAGTCGTAGCTGGCAATTCAATATCCCAAGTAGTGCCAACGGTAAGGCAACGATGCCGACTAAAACTGGCAGGAACCACGGAGGAAGACGACGACGCTGTATTACTGAGTCACCGGGTAAGTATATGGAAATCAAATGCGACGGCGAGCAGTTGACTTTGAAAAAGAGGGAATTATGTAAATCCATCATTGAAATTGAATCGGCAATTTGCGCAACATCAACGGACATTTCATGACACGTTCAGCTCTCCTCCCGAAGCACGTTTACACCTAGACTGTCTATCGACGGTTTACCTCATATACAGGCTGGTCACCAGTCTAGTTTACACCGGGCGAGTATCTGTGGAGTAGCTGAGGCACTACTACCTGAGTACACGAGGCAAATTGAACGGAGGTACTTGCTTTTCCGAGCCTAACACTGTCAGTAACTTTGACCTTCAAATTCAAGTTGTTCAAATGAAGACTGCCGTACTCTTTATCGACGAGAGGCTAGCAGCAACCCGCCGAAAGTCATCGCACCTTTTGGTCACATTGATCGCCTGCGGATGATAAATAGGTACATGTGCGATATATAGGCATGGATACAGTTAATAATAATATTGCAGTGACCATCCGTAGCTGGACGTATTGAGCTAATGAAACAGGACTTTCATCACATCCAGTGCACTGTGCGCCTGATGCGCGTTAGCCAGCCATAAATATGACAATTAGGCAACAGTTCAGGTGGGTGCTAAATATAGCTTAACAGGAGGTGACGTGTTGAATCATCTTTTAATCATTCCAAGTCAAAAGCAGGTTGCTGAGACTTATCAATCAGATCCACCGCCTCTTTAAATGCTCATGTTGAACTGCATCTTCCATCCGAGTCATTCCTTCGTACCACCATGATTGCACGGCAGGATGACGAGGAGACGCCTCTTCTGCAACGACCAGAACAGCCAATGACTAGGACGCCTCTACCCTGGAAACAATTTTCGGTTATACTATTCTTGGAAATGTTAGATCCTCTTTCTTCACAGACCCTTGCTCCGTTTATTCCCCAAGTGAGTATATTCCCTTTGTTTAGACTCATATCTGACCACCACCGGAACTTTATCAAGCTCGTTAGAGACATTGGAGTGACTCACGGAGACGAGTCCCAAGTCGGTCGCTATGCCGGCATCCTTGTAAGCATGTCTTCATTGTTCCTTCCCCTTCCCCTTCATTCGTTCCTGATATTATCCCAGCAATCATCATACTATGCAGCTCATGCACTGACTATTTTTCATTGGAGTCAACTGTCCGACCACGTTGGGCGGAAACCTGTATTACTGATAGCTCTATTAGCAATTTCTGTTTCGATGTTTTCGTTTGGGCTGTCGAAGACTTTCCTTGATCTCGTGGTTAGGTCAGTGTGTGCAATCAAATATAAAATTGTACTTGTGACCATCGATTACTGATATTCTTGACCAGTCGTGTTGTCTGCGGAGCATTTGATGCGAGCAATGCTATCCTCAAGATCATGGTGATGGACATCACTGACATGACCAATATGCCCGAGGCATACAGTTATGTACCAATTCCGTGGATGATCGCAAACACAATTGGGTAGGCATACATCGATACGTATTGCATTTTCTCTCTCACTGAAGTTCACGACATCTAGACCACTCATTGGCGGCTCGCTCTCCCGACCAGCAGACAGATTCCCTGGCATCTTTGGGCGATCAGAACTCCTGAAAACCTACCCATATCTCCTGCCATGCTCTATTTCGGCACTGTTTGCATTAATAGCTTGGCTAGTCACGTATTGGCGTCTTCAAGAGGTGAGCACGATGTGAAAACCGATCTCTGGATCACGCTAAGTGTGGTTACAAGAGCGTTTCTACCAAGGCACCACTTTGGGAGCTAATTACAGGAGGATTCTTCGGACAGTCATGCTCTAAGTCTCGCCAGCCATTGAGCAATCTTATAGTTGATCCTGGGGAAGCGAATCCCGGAGAAGTCCAATCAAAGTCGCTTCCGCTGCGTGCCTTATTGACCTCGAAAGTTTCGATCGTAACAGCAAGTTATGCCACCACAGGCCTATTTCACATGGCATTTAGTTTAGTCTTACCTGTTTTCTATGCGACACCGATTGAACTTGGTGGTCTTTCCCTTGACCCTCCTCGCATTGGCGCTTTACTTGCAGCGCAAGGCGTTGCACATGGCATATCTCAGTTACTTTTCTATGCTCGTCTGCATGATCACTTCGGTGCAAGAGCTATCCATATCACCGGCGTCACCTCCGGCATACCCACCGTCATTTTATTTCCAGTGATCAACACTCTGGCCCGAGCCCATGGGATAGGTGTGGCGGTGTGGCTGTGTGTTGCCGTTCAGCTTATGCTGACGATGAGCTTGAACATGTGCTACCGTATGTCAATTCAGCACTTCCGATGTCTTACTTTACTGAGAAGTCGTAGCTTGCATAGCATTGTTTATCAGAGCCGCCGCTCCCAATCGTGCCTCGCTCGGAGCAACCAATGGAATCGCGCAGATGGCTGCCTCAGTAGCGAGGATCATTGGCCCGGCGTCTGCAGCTTCGGTCTTCTCTTATTCAATGCAGGAAGGGCACGATGCGTGGTTGATATACTACTTCTTGATCGCCATGGCATTTCTCGCAGTAGGTACTGCTCTATTGCTTCCCCGTGGTCTTAGTGTATGGGAAGATCATCAATGATATTATTGCGAATGGCTGAAAACAGCATGGCTCAACATCATTACAGCAAGGTTATGTAGGATATCGACAGCTCTCCTAAAGTACAGTGGAATTGAGTATATAGTGCTATGTTGAGGGGGGGGGAGGGAGGTTGCAACGAAGCTATAGTACACACTCTGTAGCCTCTGTAGGGCTACATTGCACATCACATTTTAGCTGATGTAGTACCAGACCATGATCTCGAAGGATGAACCTTCTTACTCAGAGTCTGTCACATATAGTATATTTTTGTGTGTAACCTGCATGTATGCAGGAATGTAAAGCTCCAAGTCAAGAGGTGTGCAAAAGGGAAATCCTGAACACACAGCTCAACTTTTACATAAGCTAAAAAACCTTAATGTACAGCCACTTTAAGTTATGAGGTGATGTGTTTTGAGTTTCTCATCAGTAGCCTCAAAAGTTCATAAAATTGTTTGTCAAGTACTGGAAGGAGGGTACATTATTTTTAGCTGTTATTTCAAAGACAATACATGTAAAATACAGCATTATCCTTGAAGGAACATGACCAATTTTTACATTATGTCCACACAGAACATTATTGAAACATGAATTACTTTTTTTCAATGTTTTGACAGGAAAAATGAGGGCAAATTTCTATCTTCTCAATCAATGTTTTTTGAATGTTTGGTGGAGGAAAATGAGAAAATGCCTGCAGTGAGAGGCTCTTGAAGGAAGTAGTTTCGAGGGAAGATTGAGTAGATTCAAGTTAGAAAATCTAGTATAAGATGACTGACTACTTATACTAGTGGAAAGGGTTGAGGGCTGGGCTACTGTACTGTAAGTAGGGGTAAAGGGAATGTCATATCCCATATTCTGGACCTACATCTGACAATGTTCCCACACCTCATCCAGACCTCCAGACCCCCTGTCCATGTCCTTTATCTGTCCAAATGCCTGTACCATTGAATATCCACACATCTGGATCTGATATCCTGGACACCTGATCTGACATCCACTTCTCAGGATCTCCGGATCTGACCTATGTTTCATATCTGAACCCAAACCTCAAATCAGCACCCATCCCCTTATGGTAATCACCTGTCTCTGGTCTTTGTTACGCTGACCATCGGTCGGCGTGTGCGAACTAGGATAGATCTTCTCAGCGACGACTCGAGTGAGTCTACTGAAGCTGAGGGTGGTTCTCGGCTTGACGGAACGTCAAGGGTTCCTCCGGCGATCTCGGTAAGGCGGCGCTCATCGAGATGCAGGGCTAGCGGATACGTGCTAAGTCGTATGGGAGCGACTTAGAAGTGCGGTCTTATGCAAGAAAGCGGGAAGCTTAGTTGAACAAGTTCTGGGATGAACCTAGTAGATTAAAGTAAAGTCTAAGTACAATAATCTGTCTACTTATATGTGCTACATATAGGTATTCTAGCTCAGTCTGTAATCTATAGTATATCGAGGATCTATGATAACAAGACATGAGGTCAGATAAGATACATGAGGCTTAACCTCTGATCAAGCATGCTGCGCCAAGGGCAGCTGCGCATAGGTACAGGAAGCACCAAGAGCGCTCCGGATCTTCATGAAGCGACATGTGGTATGCATGTGCTGATCCAGGGTGACCATGAGGCGTACAGCCTCCATGGATCAGGTACAAGGCCATCTAGGCCAGGGGCGGGTCATAGCGCCAGGGGCGGGATCATAGCGGTCCAGACCGCTGTCTTTCTAGGCGCAGGCGGCGCACCGCCGCGCGGGGAGTCTAGCAGAGCGGGGGCAGGCGTAGGCAGAGCTGGGGCTCCTGTAGGTGTTACGGATGCCTGTAACAGTCTTTGGTTATCTGTGTTTCCATTTTGCTTATTGATCCTTGTACCTAGTTTCATCTCCGAGTTCATTTCCCTATGATCCGTCTCACTTATTAACACATTTCCACATGCTCATACATAGCCTTACCCCTCTGCTTACTTATCTGCTCAGACTTGTCTCCAGTATATAAACCCCTGTAGATACTCCTGTATTTCCTCAGTCTGAATATTACACATATTAGTCCTCGCACTAGATCTCACATTAAGTCTTCATACTAATTCCTTACATCTGAATATCCACCTTAGGCCTAGGGAGGAATTCCCTAGGCTGGAGCTCTGCTTCTCTGATCCTGAACACCTCCAAGTTTCTGGACATTCCTCTGGAACTTTCCTGTGGATGATGAAAACGATTGTGCTGTTCCTCATGCATTGCAGATATGTCATCTTGCTGCTGATGTGGATGAGTTGAGTGATGTTCAAGATGTTGTAGATGAGACTAGCATCAGTGAATCTGCTGACATCACCATGAATGAAATTGTCATGGAGGCTGTGGGATATACCAGAGGCAATCACTTGTCAGTTAGTCGAGAGAAAATGAAGTTACATGCCTTGGCTTATGTGTTGGACCAGAAGAAGTTCCTCTTGTCTTGTACGGGTTCTCAGTTTTTTGCTGATGATGACCCGGGTTTGATGTTGTACTTGTTTCCTCATCTTGATCCTTGGGATATAGGTGGTTTTTTTCATAGTGGCAGAACATGTCAGCAATATTTGTTTATGGAGGCTCAAGTCAGAAATCTCTTATTGCAAGATGATTCACCTTTCCGGAGAGATCCTAATTTTGCTTTTGTTATTTGGAACATGATCCAGAAGAAAGAGGTCCACATAAATACGTCATTTCGGATCAGTTCGTCCTTGCAACATAGTCTTGCAAATGATTTGAAGGACATTGGACCCTCATTAACAAATTTGGCGGAAAAGTGGCAAAGTTCTCCAGCAAGTTCACCATACACAACAGAAGAGAAGAAAGCAGCCAAGATCCTCTGATGCTTACAGGCATCCACTAAATTTCTGAGAGGAAGTGTGGGATACAAGTTGTGTTGTCGCAATGAAATACGTGCATTGATCAAGAAATTCTGCACTCCAGCCCTTTTCGTGACTCTTAATCCTCATGATCTGACGAGTAATGTCTTACCTGTGCTTGTGGGTATTGAATTAGACGACTGGATCATGATGAGTTCTTTTGAATGTGCTAAATTAGTCGCTGAACGACTGGATGCTGCTGCCATGGCTTTTGATTTACAAATCCGAGGGTTTATCGACATAATATTGAAATATAAACATGGCCCTGGTGTTTTTGGACATTGTCAGGCTTACTATGGCACGGTTGAAGCACAGGGAAGAGGTACTTTACATTGTCATATGCTTCTGTGGATTGAAGGCAATCCTAGTCCCCAAGAATTGTGCAATAAAATGTATGATGACAATGCCTTCAAGGATGTCATGTTTTCCTGGCTAGAAAACATCATTAGTTGTGAGTTGCCTCATGATAAGGGCCTCGTACCAGAGCTAGCACAGCTGATGCCAAAAAGCCGTCCCGTGCTGCAGGGGAACTTGATCCTCTGCTAGACAAACAACCACAAGTGGTGGATTTGGACGATCAGTCATTTCAATATGAATTCATGGAATTTCTCACTCGTCTAGTGGTAGAATGCAATTGGCATATTCATAGTGATACTTGTTATAAGCATCTCAGAAATAATGAACCTAGAGGAGATGCTACTTGCAGAATGCGAATGGATGGTAAATTGCAAGAGAAGACCATAATAGACAAGGAAAGTGGCTCCATTGAACTGTGGCAGTGGTGCGGTCATATCAACAATTTTATGGATTTGATATTGTTCCTGATGCAATGCAATACAGACACTCAGTTCATCGGTTCAGGAGAAGCAGCCAAAGCTGCAGTATTCTACATAACAAAATACATTACTAAGGGTGATGTTCCACTCTACATTGGCCTTCAGGTGCTTGATTATGCAACAAAGATGCATGAAGCCAAGTATGTGGATATTGAGGACACCAGTGATGCACGCATGGCACAAAACTTAATCATGAAATTGGTTAATGCTATGATGGGTCGGCAGGAGACATCTCATCAGCAAGTCATGAGTTACTTAGTAGGCGGAGGAGATCATTACACCAGTCATACCTTTCAGACGTTCAAATGGTTTGAGTTTACCAATGCAATCGATAAGTTTGAATGCAAAGTCTGTGACTTGAACAATGATGATGCTGAGGATGACGAAGAATCAATGTATATTGAGGAATCTGTGACTGTCGGTATCTCATCGGAGACATTTATGAGTGACGTTCAAGATTATATGTTGCGACCTTTGGATGAGAATTTCGACCAGTTCTGCCTTTGGGATTTTATGGAAAGTACTGTCAAAGTGAAAGGCAAGATGGATGATCAGTCAACCAACAACCCTGAATCTGATAATGATTTATTTGGTGAGGAGATCACTGACAAAAAGCACAAACACAAAAAGATGCCTTGAGCGAAATTCTCCTCAGAACATGGACAATTTGAGACACACCACATCCGACTGCGCAAGAAAAAAGTAGTGCCAGTCTTGTTAGGTGCCGCTATTCCACAACCAGATGGGTCGACAGAGGACTATGAGATGTACCATTGAGCTATGTTGTTATTATTTAAACCATGGTGCCCTTTGTCAGAGCTCAAGAAGAATGAGGACACATGGGCTGAAGCATTTGCACAAGAAAATTTCAATGCAGATTTGTGCAAGGTCATCTGTAACATGAATGTTGAATGCACGAGATGCACATGCTGCAGCAGTCATGGCAGACTGCGCCAGACCACATGTCTTTGGGTCTTCAAGTGCGGTGCATGATACTACACAGGAGGATATGACTGCCTTTGAGGATGCGTTGTTTTCCAATGCTGCATTAGACCCTGATGAGAATGAAGAGTTAGAGAGTTTTGTCACGGCAGTAGACCAAAATGAATCATCAACTGGTAAACATGTGGGCAACATTAGAACCTGTCTTTGCTCTGCTAAAGACGGAGGATTATTAGCAGCAGTTGGCAATAGAAATGAGCCACACATTAATGATTTGCACTCAGAAAGTGTACTACTTACTGGAGAAACACATACACACATCCAAGAATACACGTCTATTCTTAAAGCAGTGAAAAAACAAAAACATCCACTAGACATTGGTGCTACAGATGCAGAAGCAAATCAAACACGCCTTGTGCATGAAGAGACCCAACCTATATTGATGCTGGTGGAAATGGAAGAAAACACTGAAGTAACGAACATATACCACTGACCCGAGCTAACCAGAATGAACAAAATAGCTATACTGTCCAATATCATTGATGAATTTAACTTGAAAGATAACCCAGAACAAGAGATGAGCTTTACCATCATCGGTGAACATTTCATTGATGATGAAGTTGACAAATTACTAATGTTCATTACTGGAATAGGAGGGTCTGGCAAAAGTCATATTATTTGTGCTACGGTTGAATTGTTTAAGAGATGTGGTGCACCTGAAAAATTGACACTCAGTGCACCAACAGGAAGTGCTGCAGTATTGATCAATGGATATACCATTCATGCCCTGACATTTTTGCCGAAGAGACAGGTACCCATCAAACAACAGGACCTTGAGTGTATATGGCAAGCTATAGAATATCTAATTTTGGACGAGGCATCTTTGATGTCAGCTGAATTGTTGAGCCAGGTGTCAAAATGCATTTGTCAAGCAAAATCATGGGATGAAAGCGCAAGATACAAACCATTTGGAGGCATCAACATCATTTTTTCGGGAGATATTGGCCAATTGCTACCTCCAAAGTCTAATGCTTTATACAGCCATACACTGGTAAATTGACTGGCTCCTGTGACAACACAGACAATGAGGGGACAATCAGCTCTCCATGGGGCTTTTTTATGGCGGCAGGTGGATACCATTGTTGAACTCAAACAGAATTGCTGTGCTAAGGATGACACCGCATTTGTTGAACTGCTCAATCGCATCCACATCAGCCAAGCTGAAAGATGTCCTGTGGATCCCAGGAATCAAAGTGATTATGAGATATTGAACAAGCGATTGCTTAGCGCAATAAAAATGTGCTCGCTTATGGAATTTGCTAGTTTCAAGGATGCGCCAATTGTAGTCACCAGGAAATTTCTGAGGGACACATTAAATGAGTGCAAAGCACGCTGTAGAGATACAACAATTGCTGGACACTACTCGAAGTAAGTGTTCAGCAATATAAAAATGTTATGGTCGTGCACAGCCTAGTCTGCTTATACTTGCAAGACAAGTGTGTTCGACCCAAGGGGCTTGCTGTTGGTATTAGAATAATCAGTTATAACAAAAGGAAGATAGTCCGAAGCGCGGGAAACAAAGTCCGAAGGTATAATTACGAGTCCAATGTCAAAAATGTTGGGTCCGATGTTTTTGGGTTTCGGGTCAGCGGGTTTGCCTCGGGTTGCATCGGGTTAGCATCGGGTTTGCCTCGGGAATGTAGCAAATGTCGGGGATAGCGAATGGTGGGTTACTGTCAGATGTTTCGGATAAAGAATGGATGATATTGTGGAATCCAACTAAGAACTATGAATATCAGATGACCTCCTCCTACTCGGAGGTAGAAAGGTAAAGTAATAGGTAGGAGGTATGCGAAATATATAGTGTCTATGTAGAATTTTGGAGTGCTATAGGCGAAAGTAGTAGCGCTGATTTTCGGGTCCAATGTCCTATGTAATAAGACACGATGTACTGCAGACATGTAATAACACGTTCTACAATGTTAGCGATGTGAAAATGAATAACTGCGCACCTAGTGGGAATAGATACGACAGGACAAGACATAGGGAGGACAAATGCGCGGGAAAATATCAGGTCCGATGCGCGGGAAACGTCGGGTCCATCGGATTAGTGTCGGGTTTAGCGGATAAACATCGGATTGAGCGGGTTAGCATCGGATTGAGCGGATGAGTGTTGGATAACATCGGGAAGTGATTCAGATGTTTGACATGTATCAGGAAATAGCTGGATATGAGCCTAGCGCGAGCTCGAGTGCTACAACACAACTTTGCTGCCAAAACACATCAGCAGTTTGAAATGTATCATGCACGTGACAAAATATCTTCCAAACTAGTCAGCAGTGACCAACAACACTGTCTGTGGCAGTTAGGCACTTCTGAGATGGGGGATGCAATAGGTAAACTTCCGTTGATTCCTGGCATGCCCGTGATGATTACGGAAAATGCTGCTACTAGTAATCGTGTTGTCAATGGTAGCAGAGGCATTTTGAAATCTGTGACTTATGATGTAGATCATCAAGGTAAGAAGTTCACTGTATGTGCTTTGGTACATATTCTGGGCAGTACTTTGTATGTACCTGGACTGTCTGAAGGCATGGTACCAATATTGCCAGTGACAAGCAGCTTTGCATTTCCTACAGACACAAAGAAAATTTATGTCAGATGCACACAGTTACCAATATTGCCTGGTTGGGCTTTTACAGACTATAAAATTCAAGGGACTACAATGCCAAAGGTTGTGATTGACCTCACCACCGCCAAGTCTCTTCAGAGTATCTATGTGATGTTGTCTCGCGCCAGCCAGTTGCAAGATGTTGCGATTTTGCATTGGTTTTCATCTAGAACACTTTACGGTTTCCTCCAAGGTGATCACGCAAAGAGATGCGATGATTACAAAGAGTCGCTAAAGTGACACAAGATAAGTATTTAGCTAGACATGCAGATGATCACTAAAGTCAGAAAAAAGGTAACAGGCAAGAAGCATCCAGGTCAACTTTGTGCATGTGATCGGGAGACAGAATATCACGTGCGTGATTCAACTCATGACGTTGAATGGAGACTGACCATTGGACATTTCACTTCAGTGTATATTATCATGATGTAGGATGGTTGAATCACCTGCAGGTGACAAACATTGGTTGGTAAGCTTGAGGTTTGTGTTTGGAAACTGCTGAAGATTGATTGATGAATGTCTCAGTTCAAAATGTGATGAGCGGTGTAGCACTCGAGCTCGCGCTAGGCTCGTATTGAGCTAATTCCCAATGTATGTCAAACACCCATTGCACACGAATCACTTCCCGATGTTATCCAACACTCACCCGCTCAATCCGATGTTTATCTGCTAAACCCGACGCTAGGCCAATGAACCCGATGCTAGTCCGACAGACCCGATGTTTCCTGCGCATCGGACCTGATATTTTCCCGCGCACTTGTCCTCCCTATGTCCTGTCCTGTCGTATCTATCCCCACTAGGTGCGCAGTTATTCATTTTCATGTCGCTAACATTGTAGAACACATTATTACATGTCCACAGTACATCGTGTCTTATTACATAGGACATTGGACCCGAAAATCAGTGCTACTACTTTCGCCTATAGCACTCCAAAATTCTATGGTGCTGTTCACTTATGTGCCGCTACTTTGGGACAACCGCCAAATCGATGGCCAAAAAGTTCCAACCCTAACCTGTTGCCCAAAATGGCAGGTGTAGCTTCAATGTTAGTATACCAGGCATCAACATCGTTTTGTGAGTTGCGAGACATTAGTATACTATGTACAGACGAAAGTTTTATATTTCAATCTTTATTCAATGGCCTGAAAGTACCATAAAGAGGCAGCAGCTCATGCAAGACTCGCCCGACAAACTCAACTGTATGCTGCTACTGCTCCAGTCATATCCAGCAAGGCTGTGCAGGAGCCAGATGGTGATGACGACAATGACAATAACTTCAATTGCAGGTTTACTGGTGGTGTTCACTGCTCGTTGCCTGACCCTGACAGTGACTCGGAATTTGAGATGGATTGGGACTCTGACTCAGAAAGTGGAGAGAGTGTTGTTGAGCTGGAGGGCAAAGAGCTTGAGAGCAGTTTGGCACAGTTGAGAGACGAGCTCACCTTGCTTGCAGAACCCACACCTTATCAGAAGGTGGTGGGACCCAAGACGAGCAAGACCTGGAAGAAAGCTGAGAGAAGCCAAGGATTAGGATATGATGGACACTCAAAGTGCACGCAGGAGCACAGATTACATGAGGCTCGTGCTCGAGAGGATTTTCATGAATATGCAAAGACAAGGTGAGCAAAATGAATGATTCTGTCAGATCTGAATGCTTACCAGCATGGCTGTTCAGTACTGATCCACAAATAAGCATGATGCGTGAATTTACTCAACAAGGTGCTGCAAAAAAGCCAATCCAAAAGAAAATAGCACCAGTGCACCCCAAAAACATGCAATATGTTCCAAACTCACTGTACTTCCTTTCCGATCTCTCAAGCAATGAAGACAATGACAGTAGCAACACCAACATGGATCATAGTGACAATTGTGATGGTACCACTGGTCACATTTCCTCAGCGCTACCTCGAAAGCGCCAGAAACTTGATGTTCCTTACCATGAGCAACAAAAACAAAAGCAAGCTGCAAAGCAAGCTGAGCTGGAGCAAGCATACAAAGATATCACAAAGCATTTGAAGTCAAAGAAGTTTGTGTTTGTTGGGGGTCCACATGGTTTACAGGCATGTCGTGCACGCACTATCGAGGTTCACTTGATGCTTGTGGTGAAGAATGAGCATGGTTTCAAGGTAGCCTCAGAGATGGCTGCAGAGACCAATGGGTTTGCTGCAAAGTGGGGAGGATGCCAGGTCCGTGGTTGGACTCGAGAGTGGATGCAAATGAGAACACTCCCAGTCTCACAATGGGGATGGCATGCCAAGATTTCATCACTTCTCGATGACCCTGCAATTGCATCTGAGCTCCACACATTCATGCGCTCAAACAAATGGTCGATGGACCCTCAGAAGCTGGCGAAATTTATCAAAAATGAACTTCTCCCTACTGAAGCAACAAAATATCTCGAACGGTGACATGCACCAAACTTGTTTTGTGCATGGTCATGGCTACTTTTGAGCTTTGACGTTCTCTACTATACTTTACGAAATTACTAAGAATTTTCTATAACACATTATGATTTGATTTGAGTAATTTTCAGACATAACAAACCCATAATACTACATAATAATTCAATTAACACTTATCCAATTTAAAGATAAGTTCCAAACATACCACAACACATTATTCAGCATTCTCTCACAATCTTATGATTGTTTTTTACCATTCTTCACATTTTTTCTGTATATTCTGAAACATATTTACGGTAGCATTCCAACATTTCAACAGTTCATGTGTGATCAATGGCTTAGTCAGATGAAATGGATTAGTAAGATGAGATGGATTAGTCAGGAAACTGAAGGAAGAAATTTAATAGATGGGAATATTTGAGAAGTGAACAAGTCATCATGAGACATTTCAACTATGACTCAGTATGAGTCATTGTGAGTCATTTTCTGTCTGAGTCACTATGAGTCATCTTTAATATGACTCAGTATGAGTCAGGATGAGTCATATTTCCTTAATTAGATAGTTACACAGCCACATTTAGAGTAGTATATAAGGGGCCCAGTTTCCCCTCTGAATAATGACAATCTCCCTTTTGAAATAAGCTTCCTTTGGAAGGACAGACATCCCCCTTTTAGAGAGAGGGAGGAGGATTTGAGTATCTTCCTGAATTTCTCACCCTATATTTGTGTGAACATCTGAGTGAATATTAGTTTATTCCCTCCATTCTTTTGTCATCATTTCCCACAACATACTGATCTTCTGAGGCCTACCTTGAGCCAATCCTTGAATTACACTAGCTGGTACACGGTTATCAGTCATCTAGTTGTAGTTTCGTCACATTCTCCCTACAACACAGGATACCTTTTCTGTGGGGAGAATTTACGTATTTTTAATGATTAGGAGGATGACAAATAAGACTAGCACTTTATTCAACAATATTAAGAGCTTGGCTACTTTAAGACTACATCAAGAGGGTGTACTCTGTTCTGATTCTGCGTCATACTCATCGTGAGTGCCTGAGCAGCAGAGAAGTTAGTTTCAATGCCACATATTTTGGTTGATTCAATTGTGTTAGAGGCTTAGTTTGATCTCCTCTAATTTTTGAGAATAGGGAGTGTTTTACAAGATATTACTCTGATTCATTGTGTATTGTTGTGATCCATATATTCATCTTCATATTGCACACCTTTGCAATCCTCTTCTAGTAGCATTGTAGTACTGCATCAAGCCAGTTATCAATTTGGCTACACCATTTATGATCTTTATCTTTAACATCCTAAGTACTGCATCAAGCCAGTTAAACAGACTATCAACCTTCAGTTACCTAAGCACTGCATCAAGCCAGTTAACAGTCACTGTCTCAACCCACCTAAAGTCATTAGAAGTTTGTTTAGATCGACACTGCTATTTACGCCTCCTCCCACGAACGACCACATTATCAACCGTTGGTATTTGTCTGAACTGTTGACTGTGGAGGTTAGTGAGAACTGGTGATTTTATTCCCAATCACATCCTAGTAAGACAACGGCTTGTGCAGAATGAAATGCCCCAGGGTCTGAAGAGATACATTGAGCTTGAGCTCTTTCCTCGCATTCACATGAAGGTTGGGTGTGGAGTATCATTGAGCACAGCCCATCGCTGGCTCCGTCTCGAAGGATTTTGGTTCATGTCATACAAGAAAGGACTGTATTTTGATGGCCACAATTGACCAGATGTTGTTGACTATCGCCAAAATGTCTTCCTACCTGCAATGAAGGAACATGAACATTGTCTTGTTCGATATGTTGTCAGAGATATTGAGAAGGAGTCTGATATCCCTCCTTCCAATTTCGTTGAGAGACGTCTGGTCCTTTGTGCACACGACGAGATGACAACTCAAGCAAACAATGGACAATCAATGAGCTGGGTACCAAACAGTGAGCACAAGCTGAGAAAGAAAGGAGTGGGTCGAGGATTGCATCAGAGCAGTATCATTTGCTCAACCGTTGGACATCTTGAGGAAGCAGCACACACTATCGAGTATGGCAAGAATTATGACGGATACTGGAATGGGGAAATGTTTGTCAAGCAGGTGGGTGTCATTGTTCAGATATTATGCATGAAACTGAAAACGGGGAAAGCTCCGTGACAAAATCATTCCAGCATTTGAATGTGCTCATGGATCTGGTTACCAGGCATTGTTCCTCATTGACAATTCTCAGGGACACTCAGCATATGCAGATGATGCATTGCTGATCTCGCGCATGAACGTAAATCCAGGTGGCAAACAGGCACACATGAAAGATGGTTGGTTCATTGATGCTGGTAGGCAAAAAGTTATTCAGTCCATGATGTTTCCCTCCAATCACTGTGATCACCCAAATGAACCGAAGGGCATCAAGGCTGTTCTCAAAGAATGTGGCCTTCTGCAAGGGAGATGTCGAGGCAGGTGCCAATCCAAGTGTGCTGATGGGGCGACAGAATGCTGCTTCAAGCAAATTCTTGAACTCCAACCAGATTTTCAGGAGCAGAAACCACTCGTGCAAGAAGTTATTGAGGCTGCTGGTCACTTGTGCATCTTCTTGCCAAAGTACCACTATGAGCTCAACTTTATCGAGTTTTTTTGGGGGGCAGTAAAGAGGTATCTGTGCAAGAACTGTGATTACACCTTCGAAACACTCAAAACCAACTTGCCAAAAGCTATGGCTTCTGTATGTCTCAGCACAATCCGGTTATGGGAGCATCGGATGCACAGGTGGATGGACACTTATCAGTCAGGTCTAGAGATGAAAAAAGCACAGTTTCAGGTCAAGGAGTTCAGCTCAAGGAAGTACAAGTCTCATAGATGTGTTCCGGAGACTGTAGCATGTCTTTTTGACTGATTTTACTGGTCACTGCCAATTTGGGTCATGTCCAAAAATTTATCTTGCTCAAATTTAATGCTATGCAAAATTGCTCTTGACAATATGTTCCTATCATTAATCTAAGTGTTTTTACAAGACAGAAAGTTTCTGGGACTTGTTTTCACAGCGGCAGAAAGTTTGCACAAATGTAGCAGCGCATAAGTGAACAGCACCATACATAGATACTATATATTTCGCATACCTCCTACCTATTTACTCACCTTTCTACCTCCGAGTAGGAGGAGGTCATCCGATATTTAGTAGTTCTTAGCTGAATTCCACAATATCATCCATTCTTTATCAGAAAAACTCCAAAACATCTGACATTCGCTATCCCCAACATTCGCTATATTCCTGATGCAAAACCAATGCAAAACCAATGCAACCCGACGCAAACCCGCTAACCCGAAAACATTGGACCCGACATTTTTGACATTGGACTCGTAATTATACCTTCGCACTTTGTTTCCTGTGCTTCAGACTATCTTCCTTTTCATATAACTGATTATTCTAATACCAACAGCAAGCCCCTCGGGTCGAATGCACTTGTCTTGCAAGTATAGCAGACTAGGCTGTGCATGACCACAACATTTTTATATTGCTAAACACTTACTTCATGTAGTGTCCAGCAATTGTTGTATCTCTACAGCGGGTTATAAAACTCACCTTCAAAATATTGAGCACACTTACCGCCATCATGTCTTTTTTATCAGGTGTGTTATGTTACCTCATTTGTGCATAATCATGCTTCATCTGATACAACAGTGCCAGGGACTGACAATCATATGACTTATGAACTGTAGCCTACACGATTGTTGGCAGAAATATGTAGATTACAGGGAGAAGGGGACTTAGAGACTTGGGAGCTATTCCCTTCATCATTGTCACAGATGGTATGATGGGCTGATGTGTATAAGGATCCGACTCAGAAAGATCAAGCACGAAATCGGTTGTTAATTTACAAGTGCATCGACGTTGAAGAGGCTCTCAGCACCATTTACCCAGTGGCATTACACTTGCATGGAATATTAGGAGACTTCAGTGTAGAAAGGTTTGGGAATTGGTCAGGGTGAGTTTGGACTTGCGGAACTCTTCAGGATACATGGTCTGATGTTGATGGATAGAAATAATGATGACGTTGTAGAGATACAACAATTGCTGGACACTACACAAAGTAAGTAGCCAGCAATATAAAAATGTTGTGGTCGTGCACAGCCTAGTCTGCTTTACTTGCAAGACAAGTGTGTTCGACCCGAGGGGTTTGCTGTATGGTATTAGAATAATCAGTTATAACAAAAGGAAGATAGTCCGAAGCGCGGGAAACAAAGTCCGAAGGTATAATTACGAGTCCAATGTCAAAACGTTGGGTCCGATGTTTTTGGGTTTCGGGTCAGCGGGTTTGCCTCGGGTTGCATTGGGCTAGCGTTGGGTTAGTGTCAGGAATATAGCGAATGTCGGGGATAGCGAACGGCGGGTTACTGTCTGATATTTCGGATAAAGAAAGGATGATATTGCAGAATCCAACTAAGAACTACGAATATCAGATGACCTCCTCCTACTCGGAGGTCGAAAGGTAAGTAAATAGGTAGGAGGTATGCGAAATATATAGTATCTATGTAGAATTTCGGAGTGCTATAGGCGAAAGTAGTAGCGCTGATTTTCGGGTCCGATGTCCTATGTAATAAGACACGATGTACTGTGGACATGTAATAACGCGTTCTACAATGTTAGCGACGTGAAAATGAATAACTGCGCACCTAGTGGGGATAGATATGACAGGACAAGACATAGGGAGGACAAGTGCGCGGGAAAATATCGGGTCCTATGCGCGGGAAACGTCGGGTCCGTCGGATTAGTGTCGGGTTTTAGCGGATAAACATCGGATTGAGCAGATGAGTGTCAGATAACATTGGAAGTGATTCGTGTGTTTGACATGCATGGGAAAATAGCTGAATACGAGCCTAGCGTGAGCTCGAGTGCTACAATGGGAACAGTGATCTCAGGATCGAGTGCACTCCACCTCATCCAAGCGAAGATGGAGGCGCTCCCACTGAGAGACCTGGATTTATACACCACACATGAGTTTGACGAAGAGGTCATAAAGCATATGAAAGAGGAAGGTTATGCAGTGAAGCACGAATCTGAGAGGAAGACGGAATATGATGGGTTGGCAATGAAGAAGATATACAAATTGACGAAGAACAGATGTGAGGTGGACATTATCATCACTGACTGGGCCTGTGCAATCGTGCCCATCATGCAATATCACTCCACAGCAGTCATGAACTACATGATGGCGCATAGCCTCATGAGTCTGTACCCGGAGTGGACAAAAAATTGGCAGAGTTTCGTCAATCCACAGATGTATCTCAACAAACAACGGGACACACATACACACTGTGATGGCATTGATGAAGTATGTCCAAAGAGGATTTCACATGAGTGCAGATCCATTCAAATTCGGGGTCCACAGCTGCAAGACGAGCGGGTACTGTCCAAATGCCATGAGGAATGCAATTGATGATGACACCATGCGATGGAACTTTGAAGAGGTGAAGATGGTAGGAAAAACTAGGGTGACCTGCGAGGACATAGCAGTTGTGATTTGGTGCCTGGGCAGAGGAAACTGTGAGGACCACGAAGTCAATAAAAATTGGAGGATGGCAGAGTCCACGATAATGTAGAATACAGACTTCTGCGGGATCATAGAGGACACACGGAGACCTCCAGCCATAGCAGAGCTCTCACCCGCAAAAGTGAAATGAAATGGACAGGAAATGAAAATGAGTTTGCCAAAAACAATGGCTGACAATGTTTGAACTTTTAAAGAAGGTGACATGACTATGTACCATTCATGCACCCTACCACTGACAAGTCAGCTTCCGACTTCCCACGAACTTTGGCAACACCTTCAACTTCATCTGCCGGCCACATGTAGTGCATTTGCACTCTGCAATGAATTCAAACATCTGAAGAAAAGTGTGAGAATTGGTAAGTTTGAAGTTGGCGACAAAGAAGGAAGCGAAGCAGGGTCCTGGGTTGCCCAGAGGGCCGTGGTATATATGAGGCTCATAACCAACAGATATACAGCTTATAATATTAGCCTTATAAGTAGCATTACATCTGACTAATAACCAAAAACAAATGTATTGATTATCTTCAAATAAAATAATTATGATATTGCCACAACTTCCCAGTGATGATTTTCTCACAACAATGAAATAACACCAATAAAGTGATTTAATGTCTTTTTAGATAGATGACCAATAGATAAACACCTATAAAACCAAATATCTTATAATTAGCAATTCAGACAAATACTAATAACTAATAATATTATCATTCATAGGTAGCTTGTTTATACTTCCCAAGGTATATTGAGCTAGAAGTACTCCCACAAGACCAGTAAATACTATGGTTAATCCAATAATATAGAATTTGACAGAAAAACAACATCCAGTTACTCTAACAGTATGGTGATGACAAAAATAGAGAACTCTCCTTCCAGCTTTCCTACAATAACAATGCCTTGTAACAAATCATACTCCACAAAAGATAGTATGGAGTTATAATAATCAGCCCTCTCAGTACAAATAGGTTCAAGACTAATTAATGCTTATGTAGAACTCTTAGCTTATTATTAGACTTGCTGCCAAGGAATCCATCATGAGTAATAAACAGAATTAGAAACAGATGTCCTTGAATTTTAATATCAAGTCCTCTATTTAACAGCTAAAGTCTATCAGACAAAGAAGACCCTAGCTTAGTATTGCTACTTAGATGAGTAAGATCAAGTGTCACTATCAATCCCTGAAGTCTCTCTACTAGGCTACTCTAAGTGTTAGATGGATATAAAGACAATACAAAGATTTCTGAAATATGTTTTGAAAAAAACAGAACACTAAGATTTAGTGAAAGTCAAAAAATCAACAACTAAGACTATATCTTGCTTGCTGGTTGTTAGACACAGTGAACTCACAGTTGGTTGTCTAGTATGATGAGCTTACAATATTTACTATCTTTTGAGAAGGTGCCTCTTAATCTTGAACAGTTTTTGAATACTGATGCTGATACTAATTACACCTTACTCACTAGCAAGAGATAGGAATACTTGTTAAAATTTGAATATTTATGTTGGTTTATATTATATGTAGACATTAGTAGCATCAATGATGTGATATTTTATTATGTATCTGTCAAATTTGTAAAACATATGATATCTTGTGACATCTATCATGAAATCGATAGTTTACTAATATGTTTATAGTAGAGCATATGTGTATACTTCTTATGAGTTCTTGCTTAAAAAAATGTAGCAATTTCTACTTTAGTTCTTCTCTCATGACTACTCATTAGTGATGATGGTGTGTATATGTTCAAATGTTCATTAGTAGCTTACCTTTATGCTTATGACCACTCTCACCCCTTCTGCTGGCTTTGATATTTCACTTACTGTCTATGATGACAAGGAAGTCTGTGTTTTTCCTAGCAATCACTTTTATGATCTTATAGAGTGCACTCATTGAGGTATATTACAATGTAAGGATTTATAAAGGCCATTATTGACATTATGTTTTCAATGCTATTAAATTCTGATTTTTTGGAGGTGCAGTAGTAGATGCAAGATATAACCCAGTATCTTTGGACTGTGTCATTCATTATTCAGTGCAAAAGTCAGAATGCACTCAAGTATTGTATGACAAAATAATACCTGCCTCACCTAGTTAGAACACTGCCATTATGAGCTTAAATAATGAACTGGTTCATCAGTGGTGGCAGATATCAAGGGAGCACTTGATTATGATTAACCAAAAAAATTAGTGCTAATAATCTAGTGGAAAATCAATGATATTAGTTCAAAATTATCTTATTCATTAAGTTTTGTAGTCTTCTAGCATTTGGCCTTTCAATTAATCATCATTCACAAATATGTATATGTATGTTATTGTACTTCAGTTCTCATCTAACTGGATTGGAAGCTACTCCTTACCCTCTTAGTCTCCAGAGACAGGATATTAGAGTAAAAGGTGGTTATTATAATATGGTTTTAGATCTTATGTATATGGTAAAGGACAGCTAATAGTGTTTCCTCAATTATGTTCTCTACATTTCATTAGAAATAATTAGTATTTTATTACATTCAATAGTATGTTTATTTTTTTGGTATAGGCTTATTCTAATACATAATATACTAACATACAATAGTAGCAGATGTAGCTATATTAAAGAAACTAGAACTTGGAGCTTGGAGGCTATTTTCAATACATTAAGTATACTATCTCTCAGATTTCTTAACAATATACTAGTACAAAGAGTGATATCACCAGTCATGTCTCAAAGATTCTACCATATTTTGTAAAGTAGACATCAAATTAAAATAATCATATCTTCACATAATGTCATTATATTCCCATACTACAGAGAAAAAAAATAAAGCTGAGAGACAGAGCTTGCTGACTTCCTATAGCTTAGTCATATTCCAATGCTCTAACTTATAATTGAGCAATTAAGTATATGAAAAGTTACAAACATTAAGGCACTTTTTGAGCCACTATATTTGCAATCTTATCCTCCTGATGTCAGGGTGTATGTCATGTACTCCTATGCAGAAACTCCAAATTACATTATTATCCTTTACTATCATAACTGCCCTTTTACATCTTCTTGGTAAGCATTGTCTATTAAGATGAGATAAATCTTACTCCTGGAATTTTCATTCAAGGTCAGCATCTATAAATTGATTCAAAAGTCCACTACCAATAGAAGTTGAAGGTAAGCTCATTCTTCTGTAACATATAGTAAAACATCTGATCTACTTGAATTATCTGAACAGTCTTATTTTCTTATTCTTGATGATTATTATTATTCATAAGCTTGTTTATATAGTAATATACACATTTTGACCTTATGAGATACTCTTCTAAATTTGTATAGGAACAAGCCATTAAAGGCTAATGCTCAGAGAGAGGAGACAGCCAGTATAGAGAGGGTGATAATTAGAGAGAAAATATTACTAGCAACCCTATTTGATTTAAATATCTAGATAATTGACTCCTTCTGCATTAGTATAGTTGCGGTAACAGCAAGTAGAGATAATTCAGTTCTTAATAGTAAGTATTTAGGTTTCTGTCCTTAGCTTAATAACATTAATAGCTTCTCTAGAAAATACTGCCAATCTAATGGACATTACATCTAGTAACTGGAGTCACATCAGTAACTTGCCAACACAACCTTTCTCATTTGTTTTTTCTCTTATGAAACTGAAAATTTCTAATGTGAAACTTTCTTCATCCTTAGTACCTTCTTCTTCCTATGGTAATTACATTATCTAAAAATCTCAGTTAGATCTGAGTATTAGTAGGGTAAAATATTGATGTTTCACTAAAGAAAATATTTATTTAAACTTTGAGACAATAGACAACATTATCTTTCTTTTTTTATTTATTTATCAAACTCAGGTCATTATATACAATAAAAGTGGCTGTGCTACTGCTATATTAAAATTTCTTCAGAGTTATTTCTAGTCATACTAAGTTAGAGTGAGTCATTGGATATAAAGCTAAGTCATCCTGGCTTGTTATTACTTATGTGACCTATCTAGCTTCTGATGACAAACCCAGGAAAGAGGTGAGAAATATTACATAATGTGAATTCTGTGTGTAACTACTTTTTTTTTGTTATCTGTTTTTATAAATAGTAAAATTAACATAATCCTTGTCTTTAGGATTTTAAAAATGTGTTTGCAAGATAACATATGCAGGAAAAATTTTTAGTCACCTAACATATGTGGGATTTAGTCTAAGTTATCATTGTGGATAACTAAGCAAAATTCATCACAGAATTAAATATTAGTTTACCTAAGTTCAGTTTGAAAAATAAAATAAAATATCCATCTGAGTCACATTCTAATGTTAGAGTAAAGGGAGACTGTTTTATAGTAATTTCTAAAGTATCAGGCTCATAAGAGAGTATTAGTCATTCATGCACTGAACCAGTTTGATACAGGTCAGCAAGAGATATATATTTTGATTTTATACAAAATTTGCTTAAAATAGTTAAGCTTTATATAGATCTGCTGTGTATCCAAAACCATTATTCTTTATAAATTACAGGATTTCCCATATAGTCATTATTTTACTGATAAACATCAATCTTGATTGAGTCAAGGCTTAGCCCACCTTCATTGATCATTAATTATAACTAAACTATATAGGCTTCCATTTCTAGTGAAGCTTAATAATACCAGTAAGGAGCTACAGCCTAAGTTAAATATTTGTTAATGTAAGTTGCTAAAGTTGATTCTCACAATTTTCCATAGTGCTCACTAAGACTTATTTTCAGTTCATAAATGAAGTACAAAAATCCTCAAAGAGCATTGCCATCATTTTGGACTTAAGGCCAGTGCTAATAAGACTACTCTCCAGGCTTGGTTATATGAGTTTAGTCATAATTGTAAAGCTTGGAATAGGAAAATAATAGTAACTAATACTAAATACTTCTACTAAATTATGAAATGGACTTAGTTAGCATTCATTTAGGTGCTCATAAACAGTATAAAGGCACTTGTACAACCATAACCACCAGTACAACAGGTGACATTCACATAGATCGAAATTAAAAAAAAACTTTCTATATATGTAGCATCTGGCTAACCTATGTGAAGATTCTAACTTAATGTTACAAAAGGTATTGCAAATAGTGTTGAATATTTGAAAGATATGTGAACTTCATAGGAGATTGAAGCACTAATTCCATAGATAAGTCACACTTAAGGAATCTGATAGCCTAATTTGCAATTGTACCAGGCACAAGTTATTATAGCTTACTTTCCATACAAGTCCAAGGCTGACTAGGCAACTGCAAACCCAGAACCACAGGTCATTAGTAGTGGACTTGAAGCACTCTACATTCTAATATATGAAAGCTTTATATCAAAGATGTGTCTTCTTTTTTTTACTAAGTGCTAACTACCTCAAATTATACATTCTAGATTGCTCAACAGGTTAGTGCTGAGGTTCTAGCATAGCTGGCAAAAATGACTCCAATCATCATCCTATCTTATTTGTTACATGATTCACACATTGAAAGTTTAATAACTACATATTCACATAGCAACATCATAGCTCAAGTTGATAACAAAGAACCATATCACATTAAACTTGGATACAGAAGCATAATTAGCTTTATAATCAGTAAGATACCTGACCCTATCACTATGATGTTTGTTTAGGATATCCTGCATCTGAAATTCTGTCATGTGGGATAATACTAGTTCTCACTAGGGCAGGGAGTCAATACTAATCATCAGGGGATGCCCTATCCTAATTAAGTATTGGCCTTAAGTTTACTGTTATGATAAAACTTGTCAATAGGAAGACACCAAAAGCTACTATATTGACTAGAGGGTAAGTTAATATGACCACTATGACAAATGTAAGGAGTAGCTGATACTTATATTTAGAATATTATTTATAGATACTGTTAGAGTACCCCAAAAGCTTTCTGATTGAATTTTTCTATAGATAGCCATAACATGAGCTTCACTATTATTGTTGCTACATTGCAAAAACAGCACCAAGTTGATAAGTAAGATATTGTCACAATTGCCTATAAGGAGTATGGAGAAGAATTTGATGCAGAGTTCTTATATCAAAAGAAAAACAAGATACATGTTATAAGCAATACATACCATCATCAAAAGTTAAAGACAATTTAATTCCTCTTGTCTAAGTTTGTAGTTATTTTGTACTAATGTGTTAGACTTGTTCCTGTGTTTTCTATTAGTGCATGAGTACATATGATAATATAATGTGCTCAAAAAAGGAAAAGAAGCTCCTGAGGCAAATCCTGCAGGACTAGTAGTAGCATGGGTATGTATTATATTGCCCTACTACTAGTTATAAGAACAAGATCCTGCATATCATGGTGTCAATACTATTGGTTCACATTGCAAAGTGCGACCTAGTACAAAGCTTGTACTCTCATCTCCTAGCACAATTATCAGAATGGCCCTGCAAATCCTCCCAGCATTTAAGAGAAACATGTAAGAACTATTAGTTTTGAATAGAACTGAGATATGGTTCTTATGAAAAGCAAAGCTTTTGACCTCATGTCTTTATAGCTTGAAGAACTATTCAATGATATCATTGCAAGGCTCAATTACTATGGAGTCATAGATGACACATGCAAAGAAAGCCTCACTAGTGTCATGACAAAAATCAAATCTCTATAGTAAGTTTGGCAGACTCACCCTGCTCTACACTCACACTCAATTGATCTGGAGAGAGGAGAACTGCTTTTCTAGACACAGGTCCACTTACAGTCTAATACCAAGGCACCGATTTCCAACTCAAGACTATTTTCAACCTTATTGGCTGGGTGTTTGGTGTAATGGGATGGATTCCTGAAAATGCTACCTTTTGGAATTACTACTATCCACTTATGATCCTTTATTACATATGGTATGAAGTATTGTGCACCAGGCATCATAAAGCACCATAAATGATATAGATCTCGTGGTTCACTCAAAAGGATACCAGACAAGTTTGCCTTGGAAGCAATATAGATAGGCCCTAAAGCAAGTCATAAAGAAGTTACAAGACAAAACAGACCTCAAAGGCTAATCCAGGATGGATTAGTAGCCTCTGTAGATAAGCATTATATGGAGGGTGATGCTAGTAATGGGCCACACATGGAGTATTATGCGGAAACATTCCCCACTTGATTACAACTAATCTGCTTTGTAAAGGCTTAGAAACTAGGTAATGCTAGAGAATATCGGAGGAATTACTATCAGAGCATACTGGGCTTTTGAGGATGAGCAGCTGCCACTAGATAAGTTCCACATTCTCAACCACACAGACTAGAAACAGCTGCTCACAGACTCATGTGAAAATTATAAAGTCCTTCGATTCTATTCTATATTTTTATATTATACTAATCAGTGCTTCAATTTAATAGCATTCTGTTGTCTATAACTGGACCCAAGTGACCATTGGCATGTACTTGCTATTGCATGAGTCTCTCAGTCTTTTTGTCTCTGTGCTTTGGAAAAAAGCTAAAGGAGCTTCAAACCAGGAGCAAAGTAACTATGAAGTTCAGGAGATGCTTAAAGATGCTAAGCAACAAGCTTTGAGCACTGTAAGTTTTGAACACCAGTATAATTAAATGAGATATCACTCATAATTTTCATTAGCTCAAACCTCTTTCAAGAGTCACTTGGCAACTGAATTTGAATGATATGGCCTCAGACTCAGAGGATAAGTCAGAATCAGAATCAGAATTCTCTGAGGAAGAGATTCTGAAGACAAAGTCCAGAACTTCAAGTAAGTTTAATCCTTCTACAATGATACATTATTATATTAATATATATAAAAGATTATTCTGAGAACTAAGCTTTATACATATATAATAAGACATGTGGTACTGAGTACATGTAATAACATGATCTACAATGTTAGTAATATGAGATCTTAAAGCTTACTTTGTAGCCTCAAACATCTCTGTAAGTTGTATATTCCTCTGTATTTCATAAACATTGATATTGTTCTAGCACACTTAGCTAGTGATGGCTGAGGAACAGATCATTGAAGTGATTCAGGCCTGTCATAAAATAGGTTCAAAAACTTACAAGAGTACACACTGGTTAAATGCTGTAAAGTTCAGTGATATAGTAAGACTATATTATTTATATTACTGATCCACTATGTTTATAGGAATCTGGTCTTCTTGATATGGTGGCCTTCATTTGCAAACCTGATACCTCCCTAGAGTTATCATCAGATCACCTTGCTACTAGTTTTAGACAACATCAGTGGAAGAATAAATTTGGTCTTATATTTAGTCTGTGGTCACTTGGGCTTCCCACTAGCAGTACTGCATCTCAGGTAAGCATAGTTCCAGATATTCTGATCATACTGCTATATTCATGAAATACACTTCAAGGCATCACTGGAGCTTTATACTATTGTCAAACTCATGCTTGACAAAGGATCCAACAAAAAGGCTAAGAAATTTCCATTAGGACAGGCCTTTATCCAAGCACTAGATGAACTTGACAATACCCATTGTTTAATTCCTACTGCTTCTCAGCCACTTGCAGTAGGCTTTCTAAACAATGAGGAGTTATTTATTCAAGCCTATCACTCTTGGTTATACCCCTCCATAATTGCTCGTGGCTATTCTGTAAGCCTTTATTTGATTTATACATGACATTCTCCTTAGCTAATGAATTTTTTCATAGGTAAAGCATGAGCCTAAAAAGTTATATTCTCTCATCAGCTCACATGTTCTAAATCGAGACACATTTGCAAAGTCTAAGATTTCTTTGAAATCTTGGAGACTCACCTGCATCATAAATGAAGTCATTGAATATCGAGAACAGATCAAAAGGGTCAGGCAGGAAGTATTTTGGATTAATAAAGCTCAAGAAACCTTGAAAGTACAGCAACCTCTTACTGACAGTGGACAACAAGGTATAGTTAATCTTACATTCTAGTATTGTTGTATGCTAATTATTATAAAAGATGATAGGGATCACTCATGCTCTTATATAACCTGCCTTAATCTTCCTGGTATTTTGGATAAAGAAAGGATAATAATTTGGAATTCAGCTAAGAACTACTAATATCTGATGACCTCCTCCTACTCAGAGGTAGAAAGGTAAAGTAAATAGGTAGGAGGTATGTGAAATATATAGTGTCTATGTAGAATTTTAGAGTGCTATAGGTGAAAGTAGTAGTGATAATTTTCAGGTCCGATGTCCTACATATATAATAAGACATGTGGTACTGAGTACATGTAATAACATGGTCTACAATGTTAGTAATGTGGAAATAAATAACTGTGCACCTAGTGGGAATAGATACAACAGGACATAACATAGGAAGGACATTTTCTGATAGACCGATGTGAAACCTGATATCTAATGTGAAACCCAACGAGCCTGATGTTTGGATCCAATGAATGTCTGATTAGATAGCTAGAAATATGGTTGGACAGAATGACATAGTCATGCTTCATAAAATAGCCTGATACAGGCCCAATGTGAGCCCAAGTGTTACAATGTGATCTACAATATTAGCGACATGAAAACAAATATCTATGCATTTAGTGGGGATAGATATGACAGGACATGACATAGGGAGAACATGTGCATGGAATTCCATCAGCTGAATTAGCCTAAACATTGGGTTGAGTGGGTAAGTGTTGGATAACATTGGGAAGTGATTAGCATGTGACAAATATTTTGACATACATCATGAAATAGCTAGATATGAGCCTAGCACGATGTAACACTCGGGCTTGCATTAGGCCCATATCAGGCTATTTTATGATGTATGACAATGACATTCTGTCTGACCATATTTCTAGCTGTCCAATGAGACATTCATCAGACCTGAACATCGGGTTTGTCAGGTTTCACATCAGGCATCAGGTTTTGCATCAGCCTATCAGAAAATGTCCTCCCTATGCCATGTCCTGTTGTATCTATTCCCACTAGGTGCACAGTTATTTGTTTTCACATTGCTAACATTGTAGACCATGTGTACCACATGTCTTATTACATAGGACATTCAAGGACCTGAAAATTATTACTACTACTTTTGCCTATAGCCCTCTGAAATTCTACATAGACACTATATATTTCGCATACCTTCTACCCATTACTTTACTTACCTTTCTACCTCTGAGTAGGAAAGGGTCACCTAATATTAGTAGTTCTAGCTGAATTCTGAAATATCATCCTTCCTTTATCTGAAACACTCCAAAACACAGATAGTAACCTAACATTTGCTATTCCCGACATTCTCTACCTTCCCAACATATTCCTGACACAACCTGATCCCTGAAAGTATTCTCCTAGCCTGTGGTGGTTGAGGCTGTGAATAAAGGCCTTGTCATCGGCATTAAGCTGGACCAAAACTCCAAGCCGGAGTTCTGTGACACATGTATCAAAGCAAAGTCAGCGCAAAAACCATTCCCCAATGAGTCACAACCGAGCATGCACCTATGGAGAGTCTCAAGTTACACATATAAAAGTAAATGAAAACAAATGCATTGCAAAATGAGAAACTACTATTCTAGACATCAAGTACAAACTACAGGACACCAATTGTGTTATTGTTGTTGCATTGTCGTCGTCATCATCATTGTGTCGTCATTGTGGTTGCATTGTTGTTGTTGTTGTTGTCATTGCATTATCATCATCATCATTGTGTTGTCGTTGTCATTGTTGCATTGTCATTGTCAGCATTGTTGGAGCAAGCAAGAGAAAATGAGAGCAGACAGGAGCAAGGGAGAGTGGACAAGAGCAGGTGAGAGCGGACAAGAGAGTAGTGACGAGTGAGAGCAATGAGCGAGGGAGAGCAGTGAGCGAGAGCAGCAAATGAGAGAACGAATCTAAAGAACAAGATTAGAATGAAAAAAAATCATTGTGCACCTCAATAAGCACTTAAGCAAGATAATGAGTCTAGCAAGTCATCCTAGAATAGTTTTGTTTAAATGTAAAGAACAAGATTAGAATAAAGAATCATTGCACATCTGAAAATTAAAATAAAGAAACACACTTCATGGAGGCAGTGTAGCACTCAAGCTCGCGCTAGGCTCATATTCTGCTAATTTCCCATGCATGTCAAACACCCATTGCACACAAATCACTTCCCGATGTTATCCAACACTCACCCGCTGTAGAGATACAACAATAGCTGGGCACTACACAAAGTAAGTAGCCAGCAATATAAAAATGTTGTGGTCATGCACAGCCTAGTCTGCTTATACTTGCAAGACAAGTGTGTTCGACCCGAGGGGTTAGCTATTGGATTGGTCTGTAGTTAGTGAAATGATAAAACGGTCAAAAGTCCGAGCGTGGGAAACAAAGTCCGAAGGTATATCTACGATGTCCGATGCCAAAGCGTCGGGTCCGATGTTTTCGGGTTTCGGGTTAGCGGGTTTCGGGTGCGGGTTTAGTGGGTTAGCAGGAATGGCGATAGCGAATGTCGGGAAAGCGAGCGGTATGCGGATATATGATAACAATGGGTATTTCGGATAGAAAGAGCAGTAATATTCGCAATGTCAACTAAGAACTACGAAATATCGGGTTTGACCACTAAGTATTGGGAAACGGCTCCCTACTACTTGGATAATAAAAATACTCGTAGTCAGTCCAATATATATAAGTACATAGAAATCCGGAAGGCCGTAGGCAAAAGTAGCGGCCGACAATTTCGGGTCCGAAGTACATGTAAATAAACACGAGGCACTGCAGATGATGGGAAAACATATAATAGCGCTGGCTACGACGTGAGTAATGTGCGAAATAATCAACTATGCACCTAGTGGGGCTAGCAAGACAAGATGGGACACGGATAGGACGAGTGCGCGGGAAAATATTGGGTCCGATGCGGCCGAAACGTCAGGTCCGCTAGTCAAAGTGTCAGGTTTGCGCCGGGTTGTGCGGGTTAGCATCAGGTTACATTAGTGCGTAACAGGCATTGGATGTGTATCGAGAAATAAGAGAATATGTGCTCAGCGCAAGCTCCAGTGCTACACCGCATGAGGTATACATGTGCTGATCTAGGGTGACCATGAGGCGTACAGCCTCCATGGACCAGGTACAAGGCCTTCTAGGCCAGGGGTGGTGTCACAGCGGTCCAGACCGCCGTTGTTCTAAGTTCTAGCGGTGTGCCGCCGCGTCGGGAGTCTGGCAGAGTGGGGGCTCTTGTAGATGTTGCAGATGACTGTAACACTCCCTATGTCATGTCCTGTCACATCTATCCCCACTAGGTGTGCAGTTACTTGTTTTCACATCGCTAACATCGTAGAACATGTTATTACATGTCCGCAGTACATTGTGTCTTATTACATAGGACATAGGACCCGAAAATTAGCGCTACTACTTTCACCTATAGCACTCCGAAATTCTACATAGACACTATATATTTCGCATACCTCCTACCTATTTACTTTACCTTTCTACCTCTGAGTAGGAGGAGGTCATCCGATATTTTGTAGTTCTTAGCTGAATTCCGCAATATCATCCATTCTTTATCCAAAACACTCCAAAACATCTGACATTTGCTATTCCCGATGTGTGTGAGGAATGATAGCTAGATGAGAAGGGGTGAAAGGGTGAAGTGGGGTAAAACTCAAATAGACCTCTGGACACGAGTATAGATTTGGCCCAAGGGGATTGCTACTGAGAATGATTCCTCTGAATAAAATGTGAGGGGAAACTTGGAAACTAGTAAGGGTAACTGAGAATGAAAGAGCATGAGAATTTGCGCCGATGCGATGCGAGCGCAAGCGAGCCGCCGAAAAGCGTGTTATGATGCGCGGCCGTATAGCCAAGAGTTTGATGAGGCACGGAAGCGTGCGGCCAAGCTAAATGATAAATGCAAAGGTTTTGCGAGCACGTAGGCGATGTGGCGCGGCAATGGAGCGAGGAGAAAGTTCAATGATAGAAACGATAAGTGGAATGCGAACATTAATGCAGCTGTAAGAGGCGCGCGTGCGGTAGTATGTCGAAGGTTTTAGATTTTCAGTCCAAGTGTTGCATGCAAGTTGGTGATAATTTTGACGCAGGAATAGATAGATACATGAGAATTCATAAGTACTAAGTATATATGAGAGCACGTGAAGCACTGTTCGGAGCCGAGTAGGTAGCAGTAGTATGTAAACAGGGTCCATAATGCAAGTAATGAAAATATAAATGAGATAGTGTCGGAAATAAAGTCAGTCTAATGCAGATTGAGATAAGTACGCACCAATGGACTGGCGGAGGACATGGATAGGACAAGGGAAGGACATGTGACGGAACCAAAGGGAAGCAGATGCGAGCCGAAGCGCGCGCATGAGTCGCTGTTACAGGCATCTGTAACACCTACAGGAGCCCCAGCTCTGCCTACGCCAGCCCCTGCTCTGCTAGACTCCCGACGCGGCGGAACACCGCCTGCACTTAGAAAGACAGCGGTCTGGACCGCTGTGACGCCACCCCTGGCCTAGATGGCCTTGTACCTGATCCATGGAGGCTGTACGCCTCATGGTCCCCTAGATCAGCGCATGTATACAGCATGTCGCTTCATGAAGATCCGGAGCGCCCTTGGCGCCTCATGGTACTTATGCGCAGTCGCACTTGGCGCTGCACGCTTGATCAGAGGTTAAGCCTTATGTACCTTATCTGACCTCATGTCTTGTTATCATAGATCCTAGATATACTATTGATTACAGACTGAGCTTGAACACTTACATGTAGCACATATAAGTAGACAGATTATTGTACTTAGACTTTACTTTAATCTACTAGGTTCATCCCAGAACTTGTTCAGCTAAAGCCTCCCAGCTCAGCTGCCTAAGACCGCACTTCTAAGTCGCTCCCCGCTTCTTAGCCGTATCCACTAGCCCTGTATCTCGACGAGCGCCGTCTTACCGAGATCACTGGAGGAACCCTTGACATTCCGTCAAGCCGAGAACCACCCTCAGCTTCAGTAGACTCACTCG